ACACACACACACACACACAATAATGAAAGTGGCAGTGAGGGCGGATGTTCTGTTGGTAACCTTTTGGTACTGTGGTCAAGTAGATGCCTCAAGCCTTTCACATCCCATATTAAGTTTTATTCTGGTTCTGCCTCTTGTCAGCCAAAGCAGCACCATGCTGTCTGTGCTCCTAAACCTGGTCTGTACTGGTGAGTCCTGCTGGGAATAGATGGTGTGGAATAAGAGGGTGGAAATATCATCCTGGGAGGCCAAATCTATCTACAGCAGAAACACTGGCCTCCATGTTTTATATTAGTGCTAATTGTAAGCTCTAATTCTAAGGTACAGAGGACCAACAGGGACACGGATGTAAGAGGGGCAGGCTACTGGAAAAACATGAGTTTTTCTTCCCAGGCCTCTTCCTAGTCCTGAGGACATTGGCACAAGCAGGTGAGTCCATCCCTAAAATCTTGAAATACTATCCATCAAAATAGATAGATTTTATTCTAACAGGAGAGAAGGCTTCACAGGGTGTTGGCTGCTAGCTTCTGTGAGTGATTTGTTGGTGAGTGTTTTGAATTTCAAAATTAAGACCCTGGAAACCTTGCTTTCAGTCAGTTCTTTCCCAGATTGTCCCAGACACTGCCCTTGGCTGGGTCAGGCATCAACTTTGATTGGATGAACTTTTTTTTTTTTTTAAAAAAAACAGGGTTTCTCTGTGTTACCTTGATTATCCTAGAGTTTACTTTGTAGACCAGGCTACCCATGAACTCAGGTATTCACCTGCCTCTGCCTCTCAAGTCCTGCATTTAAAAGTGTGGGCCACAGCACCTTCTGGATAACAATTTTTTTTTAAAAAAAGTATCTTCCATATTACTCCACTCCCCATGACTACCTCCCCCTATATTGAGATTTTGATGTTATAATTTATGACTTTTTAAACTCATTGAACATGGACAAGTTGATTTGGTGCCTACATAGAGCACAAAGGTACACAAAGGTACCCTGCCCACTACTACGCACAAATACCAACACAGCCACTAACCCTTTGATATATATTGTTGTCATGCCTACAAGCTATGCTAGAGCTTTGGCAACAGAAGGTTGTTAGAGTAACCAATCAATATCTGGTTTCACTTATGACCTGGTTCACAAGATGGAACCGGTACTGAACACTGTTCAGGAGACCAAGAACCAGAGACCAGATAGCTCAGAGACCTGGGGTATAAGAAACACTACTGCTCTTTTTTAAAAAGTAGCAATAAAATGACTCCTAATGATATTCTACCACACTCAGTTGAGTACCTGAACACTCAGTCCTAAATAGATGCATCTACAAACTCCTCTTAGAGCTCAATGAACTTAGAGAAAGAGGAAGCAGAAAAAGTATAAGTCAAAGAGGATGGAGGACACCAAGTGAGCAAGACCCTCTAAATCAGTGGATCACAACCTTCCTAATGCTGCAACATGTTCCTTATGTGGTTACGACAAACCATAAAATTATTTTTGTTACTAGTACATAACTCTAATTTTGATGCTGCTAAGAATTTTAATTTAAATTTAAATATCTTATATGCAAGATATCTAATATGCAACACAAGTGAAAGTGTCATTTGACTATAAAGGGGTCCTGACCCACAGGTTGAGAACTTCTGCTTTAAATCACAGTGATCAAAGCTCATATGAACTCACAGACTGGAGAGCAGCATTCACAGGGCCCACAAGTGTCCTCTGAATATATATTATGGCTTCCAACTTAAAGTTTTCAATGGGATTCCTGAGTGTGCAAATGAGTGGGTCTCTGATTCTTGTGACTTCTCTTAGGCACCTTTCCTCCTGTTTCTTTGTCTTGTCAAGTTCTGATGTGATAGATTTTGTTTTCTCTTACTATATTTTATTTTGTCATATTTTATTGTTATCCCTTAGAAGCTTGTGAATTTGCTAAGAAGAGACAGAAAGGGAGTGGATCTATATTAGAGTGGAGGTGTGGAAGAACTTGTAGGGGGTAGAGCAAATGAAAACCATAACCACAATTAAGATGTATTATATGAAAAACAAATCCATTTTTAATAAGAAGAAAAATAAAACTAAAAATGCAAGTTATTTTCACTCACCTACTGCTGGCTTCTTGAAGGAACAATGGAGCTACTGGAATATTGCAATTTGTATCCTATGTAATTTACTTACTTATTAATAACAGTGGGTACTGATAAGGAGGGGTAGGGAAAGGGTAGGGTGCTTTCTATCATTCGGGTGGAGGTCAGTGACCACGATGTGGAATCAGTACTTGTTCTACAGCTTTAAATGGATTCCTGGAATGGATTCCATGTCACCAGACTTACATAGCAGGTCTATCCCTCATTGAGCCATCTTTCCCATAGACAAGTAATTATTTTTAAAGCTAGTCCTATGGACACATTGGATCATTTATCTTTAAGAACCATTAACAGGAAGCTATTGCTGACTATTCAGAATTTCTAAAGATGAAAGGTTGAAGCCTTGCTTAATCTCTTCAAGACCAGTATGGCACAATGACACTAAGGCTCCAATAGTGGCCCATACATCTTAGAGGTAGATAGTAGCTGTTTAATTGGACGTAAGTTCTGCTCAAATACAAGGGAATATTGTCTGGTTCTGAAAATCTAATCAACTATTAAGGGCTAGTGTGGTTACTGACTTTAAAAAAAAAACTAAAAACACAACTTTACTAAATAAGCATAATTCCTGATTACAATCTAAATATCTAAATATTTATCCTTGTACCCACAGATAGATATAGCTCTTACATCTCATCAAAAGCAAACGTCTATTAGCCTCAGCCAAACACCATTACAAAAACAGAAACTAATAAAAAATACAGATAACGGGTGATTGTGTCATACCCAGCTTACCTGATCTATCTACAACAGAACTCCTACACCCTACACCTCAGGGGACGTCACACAAGATGGAGAAGAAAGGTCGTAAGAACCAGGGGAACGGGAAGTTTACTGTGAGATTGCATCCCCTAGAAATGTAGTCAGCCTGGAAATAATATGCATAACATTATACAGATTACCAGGTTCCATTTAGATACTTAAGAATCTAAATATATAAGTGTGTCTCCGTGTGTTTGCAGATATATAAAGGTAATTAAAGATGAAGATGAATTAACAAAAGAGTTATGTATGAGAAACTGAGGGGAGTAAGGAAAGGAGATGTGGTATGATTATAATACATTTGAAAAATCTGTTAGCAAAATTTTAACTATAGAAATATAGAGCAATACATAAAAAGAACAGTTTAACAATGTAACAAAATACAGCATACAATAAATACTGTAAATACATACCACAATCCCAAGTTTTGTGTGGCCTTGTCAGTCTCTTTTCAAATATTCCCAGTTTTTTGCAGTCTCTTACAGATTTTTGTCCTTTGACAGATTGTACTAAAAATACAATAAGAATATTGAAGTTTTTTGTTTAGTGCTGTGGATATCGCTCTGTATGCTGAAAATGTGTTGCTCTGATTTGGTTGGTAAATAAAATGTTGATTGGCCAGTAGCCAGGCAGGAAGTATAGTACAGGCAGGACAAAGAGAAAGGAAAATTCCGGGAACAGGAAGGCTGAGTCAGGAGATGCTGCCAGCCACCACCATGAGAAGCAAGTGGTAAAGATACCAATAAGCCACAAGCCACATGTCAAGGTATAGATTTATAGAAATGGGTTAATTTAAGATGTAAGATCTAGCTAGCAAGAAGCCTGAGGCATTAAGCCATACAATTTTAATTAATATAAACTTCTGTGTGTTTACTTGGGTCCAAGCAGCCACGGGGCCATGGGAGCTGGGCAGGAACAGGAAACCTTCAGCTACAATTTAGATTCATTGTCATTTATTTAAAGTGCTATAGAGTCAGGGATGAGCCCTCTAAAATAAAACTGTTTGAAAAATGCAGAAACAACTTGTCAAATTGAACATATTGGATAATCTCAGATGTCTATGTCAACCATTCAACAATGAAGTGAAAAAACACAACATAAGTATATATCTGGGACTTGGCGTAAAGAATGATAAGTGTTTAGAGCTGGACAGATCTCACAGAGGTAAACAATGTATTCTGCAATTGCAGAGAACCCAACTTCAGTTTCCAATGCCCACAGCAAGAATCTTACAACAGCCTGAGATCCATTTCCAGGGGATCCAATCAGTGCCCTCTTCTAGCCTAACAAGAAACCAGCAATCACATGTACATTGTGGTGGTATTGTGTTCCCCAAAATATTGTGTACCTTAATAAACTTATCTGGGGTCAGAGAACAGAACAGCCACTAGATACAAAGGCTAAAAAATGGTGGCACTCACACCTTTAATCCTAGCATTCCAGAGGCAGAAATCCCTCTGACTCTCTGTGAGTTCATGACCACACTGGAAACAGCAGGTATGGCGACACATGCTTTTAATCCCAGAAAGCAAGCCTTTAATCCTAGGGAGTGCTGGTAGAAAGCAGAAAGATGTATAAGGCGTGAGGACCAGAAACTAGAAGCATTTGGCCTATTTAAGGATTCAGGCTTTTGAGCAGCAATTCAGCTGAGACCCATTCTGGATGTGAGGACTCAGAAGCCTCCAGTCTGAGGAAACAAGACCAGCTGAGGATCCAGCAAGGTGAGGTAGCCTAGGCTTGTTCTGGATCGCTGATTTTCCAGTGTTCACCCCAATAACTGGCCTCAGGTTTGATTTTATTAATAAGGACTTTTAAGATTCATGCTACATCTGGCACCCAATGTTTGTGGTACGAATTCTCAAAAAATCTACTTGCCTGTGGGCCTTGTGGGCCCCAGCTCAGGCCTGAGCTACATTTGGCTAGTTGTGGTGGTGCATGCCAGTAGCATTTGCTGAAGGAGGCAGAGGCAGGAGGATCCTGAGTTTGAGGCTGGCCTAGGAAGCTTGCTAAGGAGAAGCTTCGGCCGGGGGCCCAGCCACAAATGGTGGCAGTGGGACCATGGAGGCAGTGGCTGCTGCTCAAAGTTGCTGGCTGCTTCTCATCATGTTGGTCACTGCAGTGATGCTTCTACCTGGAATGAAGTGTTTCCTGCTGCTTGTTCGGAGAAGAATTGCCAGGACCATTGTGTTACAAGAAAGCATCGACAAAGGTCAATTTGGAAAAGTTTGGCAAGACAAATGGTGGGGAGAAATTGCTGTGAAGATTTTCTCTTTTAGGGAAGAACATTCATGGTTCCGAGAGACAGACATTTATCAGACTGTGATTGCCCCAAACTACAGAGGAGGTGCAAAAAAAAGTCTGCAGGGAATCATGAACACACCTAACAGCAACTTAGAAAAAGGATGATGGAACCCCACAAAGATGATTCCACATGGACTATGGTAAAGCCATTAAGCTTATTAAACACCATAGAAATATTGACTTTGGACTACAAACTGTTCAGGACAATTTCAAGATGACTGGCTGAGATGATCCAGCCTGACAGACTATTCAAACAAGGACTTGTGAAAAGCCCTGAACTTTCCTATTATGCAGAGACTGGACAAATGATACAGGACTTGACAATTAACCCAAAAATTTTCTTTTCAGGATTCCTTAAAGATGTCTTCACCCCTAGAAATCAGGAAGTAATTTTAAGAAAATGACACCCACATTCCCAAAAGGTGGGATGAGAGGTTTTTGGTCGTTTAATGAGTTTTGGATATTGTCATTGTTTATGATCGTTGGTTACAAGTTAATTGTTAATGGTCAAGAAAAAAGCTGAACATGGAGATTAGATTCAGAGGTTTTTGTTTAAAAAAAGGAAAAAGAAAGATAAAGAAATAATAGGATAAATGGGTAGATCACATAATCTACTCTAAAAAGATAAAGGGGAAGATATAAAGCAAAAATATACTTGCTTTATTTCTTTGATTTTTGAATATATGTACAATTTTATTATTCTAGAGAAACCACACAATTAATCAAATGAAAAAGGGAACAAGTATAACCTGACCCTAGAGTATTACCAGCATAATCATTTTGATTGACATATTGTGATTGCTGTTATAACATGAATCCTCATTGCACATGTCGCAAAGAACACAAGAGATTGCAATGAGTCTCAGATTTAAAAAGTAACAACATGCAAATATTTAGGACATAATCAAATTTGATTATTTGGAATAAAATGTGTTGGGTCTAGAATACAAAACACAGTTGTAGTCATGGTAAATGCCGTGGCTGAAGAGCTGAAATCTGAACAATTTCCAAGACGCTGTGGTCCCCTAAAGCCATAGTAAAAGGAGGGAGCACTTTTGATATCTGGGATGGGGACACATACCTTCAATCCAAGCACATGGGAGGCCCCCTAGAGTAGACCTTTGAATTCAGGCCAGCCTGGTCTACCTACAAGTGCATTCTAAGACAGCCAGAAGTACAGAGAAACCCTGTGTGGAAACAAGTCAATGAATGTAAGGGTGAGGGCGGTTGTGCTCTGTTGGTAATCTTTTCGTGCTGTGGTCAGGTAGTTGCTTCAAGCCTCTCAGAGCATCCTGTAAGTTTTATTCTGGCTCTGCCTCTTGTCAGCTAAAGCAGCACCATGCTGTACAGACAGCTCATGAACCTTGTGTGTACTGGTGAGTCCTGCTGGGAATGGGGGTGTGTGTCCTGGGAAATACTGTCCTGGGAGGCTGGATCCACCCACAGCAGAAACACTGGCATCCATGTTGGATTTTGGTGCATGAGTTTATCTTAACTAAATGGTCCCTGAATCTACTGTACAGAGGCCCAACAAGGAAAGGTAGGTCAGATCACCAGGCTATTGGAAGGGGATAGATGATCCATCATGAGTTTTTCTTTCCAGGCTTCTTCCTAATCCTGAGGACCTTGGTACAAGCAGGTGAGTCTATCCATAAAACCTTGAGATACTACCCTTCCCAATAGATAAGTTTCATTCTGACAGGAGAAAAAGCATCACAGAATGTTGGCTGGTGGGTCTTGTGAGTGATTCCTTGTTGAATTTTCTGAAATTCAAACGTAAGACCTCAGAAACCTGCCTCTCAGTTCTCTCCCAGAAACTCTCAGAAACTGCCCCTGGCTGAGTTAGGCATCAACTTTGACCAGATAAATTTTTGTGGTCTTTCTTTATTTATTATTAATA